ATTTTCCTTATTATGCAATCAAAGTGTAAAGTCGTCGTCCAGATATCGCATAACCACTCTTGGTTGCAGCGGTGACTTCTCACATTCTTTCCCCAATCTGTCCATGTATACATTTGCCAAAGGAGATGGGGATGGAGATCCCATCGGTAGTTCAAATATTTGCTCACAGATATTGCCGTTGAATGTAATATATATGGTACTTACTGTCAGGTTGCTCAGTCGCGTTAACAACTCCTTCTCTATCCGCTCTGCCTCCAGAATATCCTCTTCTCGTTCCAATACCTCCAGCAGGGTGGTGACTGCTTTCTCGCCTGCGATGTTTGTGTACATGGATTGTACGACACCGCTTACAAACACTTACGTCCCTGCCAGTCCAATATTTTGGATCCTGCCTAAGCTAACTCGGAGAGGATCAGGAAACAGTATTATCAGCAAAAAGAGTACGACTGGGCAAAATTGACCAGATAGGAACACTCAGAAAGCAAGAGAAGACGTCTACAGTGAGCCCATTCAAATCAAGTAGAACCATCAGATTTGGGGGTCGGCACGGAAGAGGATGTTATAGATTTGGCATCAGGAATAGAAGAACGAGAAAACGGTGGTGACTCTTGATAGTTTGCTCATAGACGTGGCCCATGTAGTAAAGGCTTGATCACAAGACTTACGCGCAGTGTCAAGTTAGGTTGCCATGCCAAATGAGAATCCAAACATTAGCGGCTTGCTCAGTGAGGCTGGTGCATACGAGCCATCAAAAGGTTGAGGAAGAATTTAGAACATAACGCCTGGAGTAGCACGGATACGGTAGCAGCGATGGAGTGAAATCCCTGAAACCGGCAGATGAGAGAAGGATCCTACGGAACAAGAGGGGGATTCTGATAAGGTACGAAGGAAGAGGATTGTGGATTAAACCACAGCCTTGGATAAACACTCCCGACACAGTGGGGGGGATGCGTCTCAAATGGGTTTAGATAAACAAATAAGAAATTGTGATATTTAAGGGGTGATAAGAGGATATAGGACAGGTGAATAGCCCATGACAGAAGGAGAGAAACCACAACTGGTTGGCAGACAGTTGGTTAAATGATCGACTTCACTTATCTCTTTGACGAGTTGTAGTGTGGTCATAGGAATGCCGACTACGGTGCTGGCGAAGCGTATGGGAATA